ACACACACACACACACACACACACACACATATATATATATATGTATATATATATATATATATATATATTCATCTCTATATCGAACTCATATCTCCCACCTATACAGGCGTTGCTATATCCGCGGTACAAAGTGGCTGGGTCTGTGGCGAATGTGGGGATTCATCTCACGGACATACAATTGTCCATGTTCTTCGATCTGCTCTCTGGAAATCTGGCCGAAGGTGATCCTTCAGAGGTAGGTAGTTCTTTTTAAATTGGGTACGGTTTATGTATATTTGCTAGTATAGAAATTCAGTCATGTGTCCAGATGTTAGTGTTTTTTTGGCTTGCTTTCGTGTACTCTCATTGAAGGCGGCACTTCTGTGGTATATTTGGATATATATATATATACCTACTTCTCTATCTTATGTATACCCACTTATTCCATACCACAGAGCTCAAGTGCCACAACTGCGACTGCTGCTGCTGGAGACTCTCGTAAGTGTAGTGGCTATGCTGAGCTACTTGTGAACTACCAGACGATTGATTTGTTGACATGCATGTTTGTTTTACGTATACTCATTTCATACATTTTCATATGTATGAAATACATATACTTATATATCAAATATGTATGCACGTATACGTATTCGTCAATATTCTGTTGTTTTGTACGTCATGTGATAGGCGTTTACGATTTTGGTTCCATTTCGTTATCCTGTATGCTTTGATATACATACGCTCGAGAATGAAATAAGCATGTATACACATACACGACTATAACACATAATGTCAATATAAACTATAAAATATGCATATTCAAAATATACGTGTACGTCAATGTGCTGCCGAGATCATGTTTATTTGGGATCATGGCTATTGTGTTTGCAATTGGAGATGTGTTGCCATAAGGGGTGCAGATGTGATGCATGTGCAATGTACGACTTATTCCTAAGTAAATACGTTTACGATTAATGGTCTGGTTGTAAATCGTTACAAATTAGTCGATTAGTATGGTCAGTAGTACGTAAAAACGTTTATCTTTAAGTGTGCGCCTGTAACATACCTGATCAACGGCTTATTTGCACGGAGGTGTATCCATTTAAATCTAAGCCACGTATGCGTATGTATATAGCCGCACATGTGTATTTGGTCGTTCACCAGTTGTTAGCGATGCCATGCTGTGGTTTTATGATATTGTTCCGTTGCGCGAATTCTGAGTCATATACTCATACCTACCACATGCACCTGCCATGGACGGTGTAGGTAGACTTCCTGGTGATCTCCTATTCTGTGGCAGTTGTTGTATGTAGATGCTAAGTCATATGCTCATACCTACCACATACACCTGTCATGGACGGTGTAGGTAGACTTGCAGGTGACTTCCTATTCTGTGGCAGTTGTCGTATGTATAGACCTCTCTCCCAAATGAATTGGGTGACCCATACCTAATACTCTTATGCATTTTTTGTTCTCCTATTTTTGGGCGTTTTCCGCTCCGCTTGCTCATAGCCGAACTCAAAACGGACGATTTTGGACGCGAAGTGTCCCTAGACTTTAGTTTGGCTTTCCAGAACGTTTCGTTACGGGTATGTGAATACGTATTTTGGTTCAAATACGTATTTGTATGTGAGTATCTAATTTGAGTATATATGTATCTGTATTCAAGTATTTAATTTGGTGTCAAATACGTATTTGTGTGTAAGAAACTTTCTTGGTTTCAGATACGTATTTGATTTCAAGTAAATATTCGTATGCGAGTACATATATTAATATTAAATACGTATTTACTTGTACCTAGTACGCGAGTGGAAATTACTGCCATGCTGAACCAAGCTGACTGATTGTCTCTCGCATTTAATCATTCAAACTCTATCAAGAGTACGTAAATCGGCTGTGTTGAGTACATTTTTCTTGCTGGGTACGTAAAACTATATTTTGGAGTACTGTACCTTTTTTTTTGGGAATAGGAAACACAACAATACATTCTTGGGTACATCTCTCGTATAAGGCGCTGAAAGCGTTTATTTCTATTTTTACGAGTTTGTACTTCTTGTATGAGTGTACCTTGTTTGCGTAAACGACTAGAATGGTCAGCGCATGCCATTTATGTGTACACATGTTAGTCGAACTACCACACTCGTGCAATTGCGTTTAATCGCAGAGATATACGTATATTCTTCCAGGCCTGCCTCAATATATCGTACCATACACTGGCAATTACGCCTAATCTCAGAGATGTACCTACAGTCTTCCATGTCTCTATATATCATGCCATACTCTTGTTATTAGGCTTGCATCTAACCCCCAACCCTCCATCTCGCCTTCCACGCATACTATATACTTAGAACTTCTTCTATTGGGTTTATGGGGTATAGGGTTTTACTTCAAACACTAGCACTTGTATCGTTCACAGCATGTATTTATACCGTTCTCGATAGATAATAATAACCTCCCCAATATGCATGCCTATATTTAGATATATGAGCGGGCTATTGGGAACATGGTAGGTGACCGTGTGCCGATGTCTGCGCCACCACTACCACTGATGGACTTTATTATGGACAGCTCAAATGTCAACCAAATCAACCACGTGGACGGAAACTCTCGCACAGAGTTCACCTGCAAACGGTACGTGCCCAATATACATACGGATAGATGTATATGTGATTGTTTATTTTTAGCTATATATATGTAGTTAAATATATATATATATATATACATATATATATATTGTATATACTGTATATTTATATATATATATTGTATATTTTGTATATATATATATATATATATATTTATATATTTATATATACATGTACATAGACATATACATACACACACACACAACAAACACAC